CCTGTTATCGTTGCAACCGATCGTGGTAACCGACTCCGCCTTTTTCACCTAGCTGTCGTCAAGATGGCTATCTGCCATTGTAGTGTATATACACTAAATGGTGACTCTATTCTGTTTCGCAAGGGGTTTAGATAACAATTACAATAGAAAACAAACTCAACGAAAAGCGAGAAGCTTCAATGTGGAACTATAAGGTCAATAAGCGATAGCCAGATAAAAACATGCAGGGAGGCATGAGGCATGTCAAAAAAGCTGTCAGTCAGTAGAGCGAACTAGAAGCACGTGTCGATGATCAGGCAGGTCAATGACCACAAACGCTGACTTCCTTTATCTCGTTCTACGAATAGTTTCTTTCACGCATCCGGCCAAAAACATGACTCATTATTAATTAAAATCATTAATTTCGTTTAAAATCACTACCCGGTCTCGCGTGACTTTTCCTGCTTTCGTGCTGCAAATCAAATCGTTAATGTATTCTCCACAAAAAATGCTATCAGTCTACAACTGCCCCAGGACACGAAAGGTAGTTTTCTTTTCAAAAACACATCCATTAGCTCAATAATCGTTAATCGCGCATAGGATATAGGGGACTAGACGGCGTCATTTCCCTTTTCAAAACTAATGTAGCGTGGCTAATATTGAGCCACAGTTGACACTTTCTTTCCGTTTTCGCCTCGCTGAGCTCAATGACTTTTCGATGAAGTGCTCCTTAAAGCAAATTAACACAGAAATACGAACTTTATTATCCATTTTAGACAAAAATAAATAAGAAAAGATTCATACTTTTCAACGCCAAGATTGATTATTAAACATGTCGGGGCTGCGAAGAGTATTTTTCTGTTCGTGACTAAATACGGACACTTCCAAAAACTCTCATAAATATTCTGACTTCTAACATTTGCTTTCTGGAGTTTTGGCTTTTCGTTTATTTTAATTAATTTCAAACTCAGGCACCTAATACCCAAAATAAGCATGCCTAAAACAGGTAATCGAGTACTAGAGCGGAATAAAAAGACCTAAGTACCACTGTTCACGTATGTTTTGATACTTCGAGTGACTCCTATTTGACGCAATTACGGTCATCTTATTTTTTTATAGCTTTGGGCAAAAATGTTACGCTTCCGTTCCCTCGTGTCTTATCCCGGCGCCAAAAAATGGTTTGCTTACTTTACGGTTGCAGCACTTTAACCTGTACTTAAAAACTTCAGTCCTCCGCGAGTTTTCAGTCAACGATCAGGAAGCCCCGGAATAGCCTCGAGAGAATGAAAAGCAAACAAACCCTAAAGTGACTGAGTAGAATAAACCAGATCACTTAATATAATAACATATAACCCTTTCGCTGTCGAGTCTACCAGAGATGTCAGAGCCGGTGTTTTATTAAGAGGGCAAAACGAGACTGCACCATAGGCAACAAACAAATGGATGCCGTGGTTTCCAGCGAGTCAGGGAAACGCTCAGCATGTAAAAAAGCTAAGAAGAGATAGGCGTTAATCACGCCCATCTTAAAATCCTGAATTCTTTCTTTAATAACCTTGACCCTATGTACCTGAAGACTGACAAATGTTTTAGGAACGCTAATGGGTGCCTGCTAATGGATATGAAATAACGTCTACAAAATGAGCGCGTCAAATAAACTCAGAGTTAGCAGTGTATGCAACTAAATGTATTGGGGCCATTCCATCAGCAAACATTTTAGTACATTTGTCAACCAGAGATAAACACACGCGCTCTACTGCATTCTGCTAAGAGGTCCTCAAATTAGGAACGCCTCCAAAAATTGGCTAACAATTACCTTATAGTGCATCGGTCACATTTTAAGATGACAATATATCTTTAGGACACAAGCCTGACGTTTAGAGCCGCCTAATTGTATCTGATGAGATGAAAGAGATAACTGAGAGAGGTAAAAGTGCCATACTACGGCTGTAAACTAAGCTACAAGCAATTTCTACCCCGTCTCTACTTCAACACATTCTTAAAAATTTTTGGGCACCAGGGACACGTCACGTAAATGTTTTCGTAAAAATATAACGGAAACATCATCAACATAATCACTGCATGCAATCAAAATCATTGTTATATTGAGCCCAGTAACGATAGTAAATCAAGTGTGGCGAACGGCTTGATGGCAAAATTCACGCTAGCTCGATGTTGTTTGTTTCATACGATTATGGTCTCAATAAATATAGATTCAGTAAACGATTTCTTAAGCTCCTTGTGGCCCGCTAAACAGGCCAATTTGGTCTACCCCTCCTCTTTGTGAGAACGACAATACATACAGGTACGCGTGCGTTCGTGTACTTATCATAAAAAAGGCAGTAAAAATCACGACTAAAGATTTTAAAATGCAGCATGAAAATTTACAATAGTTGGAAACCTGTTGGAAATGCTTATAATAACACTATTATGCATACGATAAGAAAAACACTCTCCACTTAGTAAGCGTCGATTCTCGTTGTATTATCGACTTTTCAAGCAAGGACTTGTAAGTGAAAGTTTC